AAATCTCTCTTTGAAATTCTGTAGTTCTGATGGTTAAATCCTGTGTTTTATAATCCTTAACTGTATATGAATTGTTTTCTTGCGTCATTTGGATTCTCTTTATGAAGTTGCCTACTCATTTTTTGCTAACTTTCTACCAGGGTTGTTTGCCCCTTCTCATCCCTGTCAAGAGCTTTGAACAGGAATTCTCTCTCTCTCCTTTTTTTAAGCAGAGTCTTGCCTGTATTCTGGTACAGCTGCAATGGTCATCATAGCTCACTGTACTTCAAACTCCTGGGGTCATGATCCTCCCGCTCAGTTCTCCTGAGAAGTGGACTACAGGCGCACGCGCCACCATGGCTGGCTAATTTTCTATTTTCAGTAGAGACAGTGTCTCACTCTTGCTCAGGCTGGTCTTGAACCTCCTGGAGCTCAAATTGGATCCTCCCCCGTTGGCCGCCCGAGTGCTAGACTACAGGCGTGAGGCCACTGTGCTGGCCTGAACGGGTATCTCAAAAATCTTAGTGAGTTTTAATTTTAATATTTTTTTCAAGATGGGTTCACTTTGTCACCTGGTGTCTGGAACTTCTGGTTCAATATCTCTGCCTTGCCTCCCAAAGTGCTAAGATTACAGTGTGGTCACTCGCTAGCAGTTTTAATAACTTCAGAAAAATAAATGCTACAAACTCACAAAAAATATCACCTGAAAGTTTAATTATTTAAATTTCTTTTATACTTACTTTCTACTTTTATCTTTATTAACTCCCTCTTGGTATCTTCTGGTTTATTAGTTTTATAATTCCTTACAATGAGTACTTAGAATTCATTTATTTTTCTAATATAGGCATTTAAGGATATTCATTTTCCTTTAAGCACTGCATTCACTATTTCCCGTGCTATTCTGAAGTATACATACTGTCTTTAGATAATTTATAATTTCTTTTTATTTTTTCTTTAATTCAAGGATTACCTACAGTATGTTCCTTAATTTTCCAAGTTTTTTTTCAGTCACCTTTTAATTACATCTAATTTTATTAGCTTACAATAAAAGAATATGGTCTGTAAAATATCCACTTTTTTGAATTTGTTAAAGCTTTATTTTATGGCTAAGTACTATACATGGTCTTTTTTAAAAAACTATTTCAGGGTAGGCTGGACGTGGTGGCTCACACCTTTTATCCTAGCACTCTGGGAGGCCGAGGCGGGTGGATCACTCAAGGTCAGGAGTTCGAAACCAGCCTGAGCAAGAGCGAGACCCCATCTCTACTAAAAATAGAAAGAAATTAATTGGTCAACTAAAAATATATAGAAAAAATTAGCCAGGCATGGTGGCACGTGCCTGTAGTCCTAGCTACTCGGGAGGCTTGAGCCCAGGAGTTTGAGGTTGCTGTGAGCTAGGCTGATGCCACGGCACTCTATCCCGGGCAACAGAGTGAGACTGTTAACTCAAACAAACAAACAAAAAACCCCAAACTGTTCCAGGGTCATTAGAGGGGTGAGGAGTATATTCTCTAGTCAAAAGATATAAGGCTGCCTCTATATAGTAAATGAAGCTTATTGATTCTATTATTTAATTTGTGTTATTTTTTTGTCCACAAGCATAATGCTACGCAAAGTATAGTCCACAGAAGGTACTGATCTACAAACTGTAAGTTACTAGTTAACAAGATAAGTATAGAAATGGAGAGGAGAAATTTAGAAACTTTTACAGTAATTTGATATTGCCGTGACATCTAAACGTATGATCAGTGTACTTGTCTCATTGAACAGGGTACAGAGAAGTCTGAGTGTTTTTCAATTCATTTAATGAGCCACGTCATGGGTTGCATATTTGTCATATGCAGTAGGATCATATTACGACTTGTGATATTTTAAGGTAAGTTAGGCATCTATAACTCAAAAATTTTTAAAGTACAGAATCCATTTCTTTTACTGAAAGGTAACTTTAAGTCTACTAGGATAAAGTGGATAAATAAAAATGCTGAGTTTGCTGAAATATCTCTAAAAATCTGTTTTTCCAGTCCTCATCAACTTAGATCTCTAGACTGATTTCTCTACAAAACAGAACAATACAGATCTAAATTATTCCCCATTAGCCCCATTAGTATTGTGGTCAGTCTAACCTAGATTAGATAAATTAACAAGTCTGTTGCATAAAAAACTTTAAATATTGATAATATATTATGCATTCAGAAGAGAAACAGAAGATATTAGATTAGGTTAAAAAGGTCATGAAGAGCCGGCGCGGTGCTCACGCTGTAATTCCTAGCACTCTGGGAGGCCGAGGCGGGGATTGCTCAAGGTCAGGAGTTCGAAACAGCCTGAGCAAGAGCAAGACCCTGCTTACTATAAATAGAAAAAATTAATTGGCCACTAATATAATAGAGAGAAAATTAGCCGGCATGGTGGCACATGTCTATAGTCCCAGCTACTCGGGAGGCTGAGGGCAGGAGGATGCTTGAGCCCAGGAGTTGAGGTTGCTGTGAGCTAGCCTGATGCCATGGCAACTCATAGCCTGGGCAACAAAGTGAGACTCTGTCTCAAAAAAAAAAAAAAAAAAAGGTCATGAAGAAAACAGATAAAAATACATGATCACATTTTTTATGATTACAGACGTAAATTGTATTTCAACAAATATCAGACCAAACAACAAAGGAAAAAGAGAAATTTAAAAACTATACACATTCATTGAAAGTATAATAGCAATTAATTTGACATACACTTGTATTTCATCATTTAACACATTGTAACTAAAAAAGTGAGTGACATAGCAATTCCCTATATGCAACACCTG